ATATATATATATATATATATATATATATATATATATATATATATATATGTATATGCGTATGTATTTGTCTCTAGCTCTATGCAACTTTTATAGCTGATGCGTGACGAATTGTTTTTATATTCTGCTACAGCTACTGCTTTCTCTTCCTCTAGCTCTTTCCGTTTCCCTTCTTCTCTTTTATATGCCGAGTGCATGAGTCAAAACCCTGAAGATATTACGAAATCAGGCATCAAAGCATAAGGCAAAAAAGTAAAAAGACGCGACTACAAAAAAATGTGACAGAGGGAGAGAGAGACAGTAAGAGAAAGTATAATCAGTGTGGGAAAGAGAGAGGTAGCAGAAGAGAAATACTACATATCTGACAATTGAAAATAAAAGTTCTTGATAAGAAATTTGTGTTTGTATTACTTAATTTCCTTAAGTTTGTAGGAAGTGAAATAAAAATAATTTCATGTGGAAATTTAAAAGAAATCAATGAAATATTTAATGTAATATACATACATAGAGCATATATAGGTATGTATGTATGTATATAATATAAATAGAGATAGAGAAATAGAGAGATAGACAGATGGAGAGGTAGAGGGATAGAGAGTTAGAGGAATAGAAAGATATAGAGCTAGAGAGACAAATACAGAGAGGGATAGAGAGATAGAGAGAAGGAGATATAGAGATGTTATTTTAACATTTGATTTTATATTTTTTATTATTTTATTTTATATTTTTTATTAGTTGTTTATTATATTTGTTATATATTTTGTATATATATATTTAAAAAAATTTTTTTTTTAATTTTGTGTATTATTTTTAATTTAAAAAAATATATTTTTATTTTATTTTTTTTTTTAATTTGTTAATTGATTTTTGTTTTCTGCTTTTGTAAACATATATTAATGCATATACATATGGTTTATGCTTGTCCATTGTAAATCCCACTAATCCAGCATTATCTCCAATATTTTATTCCATTTAATATTGCCTCAAAAGCTTTCCCCCGACACGAATATACTCACGCATATTACATTACTCTAATATTGAAATACATAAATGGATTTTTATTAATTTTTGCATTCATTTCTTCTTTTTCTCTTCCTCTTTTCTGAATGTCAACCAACAACCGCAACAAAATAAACCCATCTAAAAATCCACCAAAAATATTATGAAAAAAAAAAAAAAAACAAAAGCGTGCAATTAAATATAATAATAAATACAAATTAATAAAAAATAATTACAAAATAAATGTAACAACCAAAAGCGACTCAATATGAGCGCCAACAGTGGCTGCCAAAACAACGACAACAACAACAACAACAACAACAACAACAAATGTGCAAAATCTAAAAATAAATAAAAAAAATTCACCTAAATCCAGCTAAAAAAAAAAAAATAAATAAAATAAAATAAAGCAAATTTTTATTTCGTTCCATTCCCGATAAAATCGTTGTTGTTTGTTTTCTTTAGCGCAATAGATAAAAAAGCATCCGCAGCATTCATATATATATATATATAACTATATATATATATATGCATATTCCCTTATCTATATAGATATATCCACGCACACATCTGTATGTATATGTGTGGGTGTGTGCATTCGTGTCTTTATATATATGCGTGTGTGTGTGCGTGCGTCCATAGCTATACCCTGTGAATTCCATCCATCCAATCTACACACATATGGTTATATCTATACATAACATGCCTATATATATATATAACTCAATCTGAATGATTGTAACCACCACCAAAAACAACAACAACAACAACGACGACAACTAATTAATGCCACACTTTTGTATGTGTCTATCGAACAACTGAAACGATAACAAATCGATATATCGATAACAACAATTTGCAACAACAATCGACAACAATCGACTCGTTACAAAATGGCGGACATCATGCGTCCGCCGTTCAGCGACATTAAGCGGCCCGACGAAATCGTCAGAATGACAACCGCCGATAATCTGAAATTTGCCGTCCTCATCGGCCTCATCGAGGTGGGCCAGGTGACCAATCGGGAGGTGGTCAACACTGTTTTACATTTGGTAAGTGCAGCTCAGTTTAACTTTGTCTAGGATTGAATGTGACTGGCCGATAAAACATATCGATAACAATTTGTTATTGCTATCGATATGCAATCCAAATGTTCATGTGATATATACATATATGTATACTTGAAAGTCGATAGAAAATATCGATTAGCTACAGATATAATGAACAAGAATATATCGATAAGCGAGCAGCTAAAATCGATATTTATCTTATTTTTCATCGCCAACTGGCATGGTAAGACAATCTAACTACTGTCGATAACTCTTGATTCCATTTATTATGCTTGATGTGTGCTTTAATAGAACTTACTATACAAAAGTGGATCCAACTAACTGCTATCGATAACTCTTGAGGCCAACTTAGATAGAACTTAGTGGAAAAAAAGCGAATCTAAGTAACAGTTAACATTTTCTTGGAATCGATAAAGTTTTCCATCCGAGTAGAGTTCTACAACAATGCAATGTGAAGTTTTCCCGAAATTTTCACATTTTCCACAACATTTGTAAAGAACAAACAAATAAATATTTACACTTAAAGTTAATTAAAATTTTTGCTAAGGATTTTCGCATTTGGCTGCATCTGGCTGAATCCATTCTAGATGCGCCCATTCGGTTAATTGTTATTTGACACTTGCCAGAACTTTGGGGCCTGCACAGTACCTGGCCCCTAGATGGCGCCACATGGGGCATAGCCAAATTGCTAGTTTGAAACAAAAACTGTTTGCCATACTCTGTAGATGGCGAGCTTAGTTAGTAGAGGGTATATCGTTCTCCTTGATCGATTTGGCAAGAGCAGTCTTGAATTATAGATGTAATCGATATTTCTATCATTTATCGATAAATATTGATTGAAAATCTGGCTTTGGAGATGTGTAGAATCAAGTGGGGTGTTCTAGTGTTATATCTGACTTAAGAAGAATTGAACTTAATCAATATATATTGAATTGTTATTATATGGTATATTGATATGCATCGAATTTCTATAATTTATCGATATCTGATCAGGATGTGTTTTAAAGTTTCAAGCACATGGAGTGTTAACATTTCAATCTCTTGATTGTTTAGCTTATAGCTTTTATACCCCAGTAGCTTGACATAGATTTGTTTTGAGATAGTACCAATCAATACCGATTAATATATTACCGATTTCTGTTATAGCTTAAAGTAGATAACGAGATAAATTCTAATTCTTGCTTGTTAAATGTTTGATTAAATTATTACTCAATTATGCTTATATGATATCAATAAGTATATATCGACAAGCATTTATCGATAAGTATCGAAAAGTGTGTGTATCGATAAATATATAAAGTTATGAATGAATACTCTACAAATCATGTATATAGAATCTGATCAATCATCAGATTCTATAAAGCGAATTAAAGTAACTGCTTCATAGCTTATAGGTCATCTTCTAGTCGAGCATGCCCTATTAGAGCTCACTCATATGACTTTGTATTTTCTTTTTTTTTTTTTGGTTCCGTTGCCTTGCGCAAATCTGTGCAGCCAAAAATCTTTAGCACAAGACAGCGCAATTTCATTAGACAGCCTGACAAAATGGCGTCTAAATGCTGCACACACACACACACACACACGCCAACACCCCCCTCTCTCTCACACACACACACACACACACACACACAAATAGACGGCGCTTTCATTAGCACAAAATTAACATTTTGTGAAAGCCGCAGAGCGAAACATCTTCATGTTTGCCAAGGAGCCTGACTAGAGCCAAAGGTAAAGAAACCATTGCTTACCTGTATACATACATACATCTGTATATGTATGCGTGTGCGTGTGTGTGTGTGTGTGTGTGCGACGTTGCTGTGCCAGCGATTAGATCAAAGGCCAGCAGCTTCTACCCTTAGAAGACAATATGCCTGCATACATATTGTATTATTACACGACATTATTATTATTATTATTATTATTAGAGAAGATTTTCAAATTTACATCTTTTTATTTTGACTGTATATAGGTGTGTGTGTGTATGTGTGTGTGTGTGTGTTGGTGCCTTAATGAAAACACGACACCGTCGCTCATCATTACGAGATTCTGTCGAGATTTTCAACGAGAGCACGGCCCAAGGAAAGTAGAAATAAAAAAAAAATAACCTGACTGACATCTGACAGGTGTGGGTATGTGTGTGTGTGTGTGTGTGTGTGCAAGAAATTGAAAAGAAATTGAATTGAAGTTCTTTGGCGTCGTCGTAGTCGCTATTTATTGATAAGATAAGCAACTGGCAACAGCTAAAAGATAGCTCAAGTTGGACAGACATCAAGAGAGTGAGAGAGAGAGAGAGCGAGAGAGAGAGAGAGAGCGAGAGTGAGAGAGAGAGAGAGAG